GATCCGCGCCGCCCACCGGAGACACCAGGACGAGGCGGCAGATGCCGAGATGGCCTGGGACGACTCGGCGCTCAACATCACCGTCAACCCCATGGAGGAGGTAAGAAGTGAGGGGAGAGGGGGAGAGGGAGGGAGTGGGCTGAACATCACTGTCAACCCCATGGAGGAGGTGAGAGAATGGGAGGGAAGGGAGGGGACTCAACATCACTGTCAACCCCATGGAGGAGGTGAGAGAATGGGAGGGAAGGGAGGGGACTCAACATCACTGTCAACCCCATGGAGGAGGTGAGAGGGACGGAGTGAGGGAGGGAGGGGAGGAAAAGAAAGGAGCAGTCTGGTGCGGGCAGGGCGGCCAGGGCGCGCTCTGCCGCCTCTCTCCTCTTGTCAGGTGGGTCTGTCCGCCGCGTGGTGGTTGGTAGGTCCACGATGAAGGTCACTGACCCCTGATGGGCCGACCACGGCGGCTCCGGTGACACCCTCAGGAACGGCTCCGCTGGGCAGTCCGACACTCCCGCCTCCCTCAGAGTCCACTGGCCCACTCTGCGTAGGCATGGCTTATGGGGCAGCGCACCGACTCCAGGGCGTGTCTACAGACGCTCCAGCGCGGGCAGGCAGCCCAACAGGAGGAGCTACCGGCGAGCATCTGGGCCTCTCTCCATGACCTCACGTGTTCCGGGAAGCACGTCACCTTCCAGTGGGTACCGGGGCATGCTGGCATCCCTGGTAATGAGGACGCCGACAGGCTAGCCAACCGAGCCGCGGCAGAGCTAAGCCAGGCAGCGATCCCGCTGGACATGGCCGGCGCCCGAGCGGCGATACGCCACAGATCCGCCGAGTGGACCGCAGCCCGAGCCAAAGCCCATCCTCACCTACCACCCACGCCCGGACACGAGGACCTGACCAGGTGGGAGCAGGTGACACTGTCTCAACTGAGAGTGGGAAGATCAGTGCTCACAAGGAAGACTCTCCATGAGATCGGTCTTGCGACAAACCCCGACTGCCTGAACTGCGAGGAGGAGGACTCGGTTGCACACTTGCTGACCGAATGCCCAGCGTACGCCCGCATGAGGTCCCGCCTGTGGGGCGGACCTCTGCCGAGCCTGGGGCATGTGCTGGGCGGACCAGCGACTCTCATCTTCGAGTACCTGCGGCGGGTGGGCCGTGTCGACCCCCCGGTCGACGCTGCCACGGCCGTGGCCGCCCCGGCGGCCACGGCGTGACGTGTAGAAGAAGAAGAAGAAGAAGAAGGAAAAGAAAGGGTAGAGCGTGAGAGGAAGTAGGGAGGAAAAGGGCGTTCATTACCCGTCACATTACACGAGTGCGATTAAATATCAAGGAAAGAGTGTGGAAAGAGGTGGTGATGAACTTTGCCATGCTGTTTTATTGCCCCATATAAAAGATTTCCAAAAACGTTTCCCGTTTTTTTTTTAAATGGGCAATATTTGCTTTCGAATAAGAGGCAATGGCAATTGCTACAGCTTTTCTGATGGAAGATGTGATCCATCTTCAAAGAAATTTTATTTTATTTGGTTAAATCTGCTTAATTAAATAAAGAAAGTTGCCCTGGTGAAAATTGAGTAGCTGGATTCTGTGGATGTTCAAGATAGTGCCTAATCACGCAAGAGACGTACTTAAGGTTTTCCTAACTCACGGCAGCATTCAGTTTCACAAAACGCCCCGCCCATCTCCACCCCGTTTACCCGTCCCCGGCGCGGTTCACCGGTCGCTCAGAGCTGAGGGCTTCATCGCCACGGCGCGGCGGCGCCCGGCGGCGGCCGAGTCTAATTTCTGTGCCGCCGCCGCCGCCGCCAGAGGCTGCGAGCCTGATTGAACTACGGCTCCGGTTCTAATTTGTGGCCTCTGTGGGAAGGGCCCGCCGCCACCCTCGGGTGCGGGCCATATTGAAACGTGGCGTGCCTCACAAACAGCGGAGAGGGGAGGCTGAGTGGTGGGGAGGGAGGAGGGACGTGGGGAGGGTACTATAGAGATGGATCTGGGTAGGCCGGGAAGCTGAGAAAGAGCTCCAGTCCGGCCGGCTCCTTTTTGTTTGAATTATTTTTATCGCGTGTTGGGCACGCCAGTCGGTGTATGTCTTCAATGTTGGGGCAAGCAATTACGCATAACATGAGGTCGTGCTTATTCTCCTGTGCATTCTCGCGTATTCTCCCGCGCGTGTTGAGGCCTGTGTGGCCCTCTGTTGATCTCTCTGACCGCCCCCCCCCCCCCCGCCGTCGCAGGACGCCGCCACCGCCGGACAGCCGGCCGCCGTCGACGATGACAGCTCCGACGACGGCAGCGACTACGACAGTTCGGATCCGGACGACGACGAGGAGGAGGTGCCGCCGCCGCGCAAACAGCTCGAGTGGGACAACAGCCACCTGGCCATCTGAGCGGCGCCGGCGCCTGTGTGATAGCGGCCGCCCCCGCCCCCGCCCCCGCCGGCTCTGCGGAGCCGCGCTGCCCGCCTCCGTGAGTCCACCATCCTCGCTACTAAAGCCTCGTGGCGCTGGAGCGGTGTTATGTCCTCAGACTTATCCACTGCTGCTTCTCCTTTCGCCTCACATTTTCTATCCCTGTATCCCTCTTGCTGTCTCTCTTGCTGCTCCTGTCGCCACCGCCGCCGCCACTGCAGTGTCGCGGTTGACGCTGCCTGTAGCAATGCTTACGTAGCTACAGAAGCTGAGTCGCCGGGAATTGAGTGCCATACACTGTAGAGTAGATACACGGCGTGGGGCGCGCCTCGAGGGCCGGTCCCTCGGTCGTCCGGCGCAGGCCGTGCTGGCCGGGGCGGTGGGCGGTGGGCGGTGCTGATGGCAGCGGGCGGGGGCGGGGGCGGTGGAGGGCGCGCTCTAACCCACTTCTAGTCCGCCGGAGGTCTGTGCTGACAGGCCCCCTTCCCGGCCGCAATAACCACCCTGTCCGGACCACAATGGACACTGTCTGTGTCCACTCTGGTACTTCTTTCAAACTGTCTGCTCGAGATATCTCCTTACTATTCTATTACTGAATCTCATTCGTTCTTATCACTCGATTTATGTTTGTTGTTTTATTTCTTTTCATTTCATATCTTACTTCTCCCTCAATCGTCTATGCTTGACCATATTTTCTGTCATCCATCCTCTCCTATCCACCCCCTCTCTGTGTTAGCCGTTTCACCCCGCTGACGGGCCCGGGATGGGTTGTCTGCTCTCTCCCTCTCTCTCCTTCTCTCCCTCCCCTCCCCGGAGAGGTCTGCCGGCCGCCGCCGGCGCCTCCTCCTCCCTGTCTTGGCAGCTGCTCTGTGACTGACGTGTGATGATGCGAGTGACGGCGAGTGAGAGCGCCGGCCGCCGCCGTTTCGAGTGCCTCTCGCCTGCCGGTGGCACCCCCGGCACCCCTGGCTGCAGCTGGGGCTGACCTGGCACCGCCGGCTCCGGAGCACCTCACGCGGCTCGGCCCGGCTCGGCAGAGCGTGAGGCACCCCGCCGCCGCGCTCTGGGACACACGACAGGGGCGGTGGGTGTATGTGCGGGTGCGTGTGTGTGACGTGGCGTGGACTGTTGGGGGTGGGAAGAGTGGCCGGATATCGGGCCCGGCGCCCGGCCGGTCCGCTCGTAATCAGCGCCGGACGACTGGGGCCGTGTTTGTTGTGGCTAGGTTTTAGCTCTGTTGACCTGCGCGGCGCGACATTCACTCACATATCTTTAGGCACGAGCGGTCACCGCCGGCGGCGTGTCGGAACCAGCGGCGGCGCCAGGAACCATCCGGAACCAGCCGCGCTGACCGGAGCCGCGCGGCGGCCGAGAGAGGCGCGCGCGCGCGCGGCCGCTCCGTAACCATATCATGGCGCCGGCGCGTGCCGGAACGTGACGTCACTGTAGCCATCTCGGTGTTTGTCTGATTAACATTCCATCTCGCATCGCGCGGTGTGCGACTGATGGGCGCGGCGGCCGAGCCGCCGGACTGACGGGTGACGTCATCGGCGACCGGAGTTGACGTCACCGGCGCCCCATAGCGCGCCGCGATGTGTTCTGTTGTGAAAAAATATCCAGTGTTATAATCTCTATCCGTTAAGAGCTGTCGCACCGATAGGTTTAGAGCTGTAAAGCTGTAAACGCCGAGTCTTTTGTAATGTAGATCACCAATACATTCTGTCACCACCAATGTGCGTGTTGATTGTGAGAACATTGAAGGTAGCCGACACCCGAAGGACCTTTGAAGTGTGTGTGCGATTGCAGCTAATAGGAAGGCGATAACCGTTAACCTGCACTCAGCAATTCCCAGCAGTTCTTGGGCCCCACGCCTGCTTCGCGATGTACCATGCCTGCACCTCCCCCCCCCCTGGCCGGCCTTTGAGGGTCCCATCATGGCTACTGGATGCCCCATAACGGCCTGCGAGGACCCCTAGCAGGTTCGACGGCCTGGGCAGGCCACACTTAAACACCCATGACGTCCTCTGAGGGCCCCACACTGGTTCTTGGGCCCCATACCAGCTCCTTGAAATAGCATGAATTCCTCCATGAATCCTCTCCGGCATTCGGGGCCCCAAAGGTCCAAACATAGTACCTACTTGGGGGCCCACATGGTGTCTCTAGGCCATTTCAGTGTGCTTTTACCGCCAATGACGCGCTCACCAGCCTTGCCACGCCACCGCTGTCAGCCGCAGCCCGTCCAGTCATTGAGGCTGCCATGCGGGACAGCCTAACTTCAGGCGCTTGAGACGCCTGCCATCTAGCGGCAGGAGTGTAAGCTTTTGTCCGGCTCGATGTGCTTACCTCGCATGCGGAAGCTGAGGCATGGAAACTCAGTCTACCATATAAGATATTCCACCAGGAATAAATCCACCCGTAGGCGGGTTTTATATGGTTTAGTGGACAGAGCGGAGGGCTTGTATATCAGCCACCCGAGTTCGATTCTTCAATCTAGCTTCGCGGAGTTTTCGTTCGTTGGACAAGCGAATCGGTCCCTGGCCTAACTCATTTGTAACTCGCACCTGACGCTACACGCTTTCACACGGCACACACGTTGTTATGATTTTATTGGGCATTTCGGATTAGTTCTCGGCACTCTATCGATCGCACATTTTATACGACACCACACAACGGCCTAAAGACAGCGACACGAAGCGACCAGTCGGTCGCTGCCAGTCCTCGCGAGCACACACGACTGGCACACCAACACAGTAGACAGGTCGTCAATTACGAAACGCGTCAATCAGCTAGCCAAATCCGAAACGCGCCCGTTGATGATGAGGTGCGCGACAACGCAGCTTGATTCCACATAAAGTGGAAGGGTGATAGCATGGGCATCCGCTCTGCTAGTTAGGAGAGCCGGCTTCAGACAAATAGAAGCTGTGATCAAATATAAAACACTAAATGATAATGAAATATAAAATGATGAATGTGAACTTACAAGTAATAATACTTAGCCGAGATTCTAAAGGCCTCCAAGGAACTTGAGTTCGAAAAATGAATACAAGAAGTCATGACATAAAAAAATGAAAAATTCCCCGAGCAATTTTCAGCAATTATTGTCGAAATTTTGTGCTTCAAGTTACCTGGGACGGGAACACCTAAAAGCAGAGCGATGGTCTCATGTTATTCCCAAATCCACAAGCATAATCGGACATGCTCATTGCTATGGTGATCGATCAATGCTGTCAAAATTTATCAATGTCAGTCACCAAGGCATACGGCTCAAAAGCACACGGGTCTACCATTTCTCAGTCAGAATGGGAGTTCGATCATTTTCTCCACACAAACACTGCGGCACATACACACATACAAACAGGCCGCTGGCCGCCGGAGTAGCGTCACGCCCGCTCCCACCCGACTGCCCCAGGTTAATATCACAGTATTACAACGCGTCAGTCGCACAACAGCGCCTCACTGCCATCTGTCGGGCGACCATGCAACTAGCGACCTGTGGGGCCGCCCGGCTTCTCCCCACGCTGGGGAGCAAGGAACATGACTGGGCATCTTAGGGGGGGGGGGGGGGATAGGAGGAGTAGAGAGTTAGCTCAACCTCGGGATGCGATGCCGCCCGATGAATGGTCAGAACTCAATCTGTCATTTAAGCATAACCAGAGGCCAAAGCTCAGCTGGACATCCTAGAGTCTCAACGGGAGTCCTGGATTTCCTGAACCAATCGGGAGGTAACCAGAGGTCTGGATGAGGCTCACGGGATAGGGCACTGCATTGACCACTGAGGACCGATATGCATGGATCGCTGGTAGTTCGCCGTTTGTGATCGGACCGTACCACCGTTCGGCCACCGAGGTAACCCACGCGGCAGAGTTGTTAGGGGGTGAGCGCCGGTGGAGTTACTGGAACGACGACTCGTCACGGGGAACGGCGACCGAATCAGACGAGCACGCGCAGGCAATGTGAACAGGGGAGGATGAAAATGACAGATGACGGTGTAATGTATAAAAGGTTTTACGAGAGTCATCTAGCTGCCAAAACATACTAACTAGACTGTATAATGCTAATCATACAACACTAAGCGATGGTTTAAGCACACTCAAACCTGCGCGACTGAGGGGCGGCGTGGGCAGTGGCAGTTGTGTCCGCCCTCACTGGCGGCCCCCAGAGGACGCCGGGGCGACTCAGTCACCAGTTAGCGGCGCCCGCAGCGTTCCTCTGACCGGGTCAGCACCGGTCCAGGCCCTGCCCACCAGTCCGCACAAGGCACGCGTCTGCAGACCCGTCTCACGCCTCGCCACTGTGCAGCGTCCCTTCCGTCCTGCAAGCTCGCACGTGCCTTCACAGACACATATTTGGCACATACTGCCGATGGCACAACTGGCTTCGAGCACCAGCTCACGGCGGCCGCTGCCCGGCCTGTCACCGCGGCGCTTTGGACGGCTCACTGTAGATGGCAGCACCTGCGCTCGAATAGATGTCGCTCGCCAACAGCTGCTAACGTCTAGCGGCTGATGTTGGACTTGAGCGTCGGGTCTGGCCGCCGGCGTTTGAAGAAGCCCAGCTTCCAGAGGATGAGGCAGATGATTGCTAGCAGCAGGAGGCCGGCCAGCACGGAGACGACGATCACCCAGATGGGTACGCCGCCGTCCTCGGCCTTGGCCGGCACCGCCGGGTACGCTATCGTCTCCGCCTGCCGGAGCACGGCACACAGTCAGACAGGGAACGTACTGGCAGACATCGAACGAGATTAACAACACTCAGCTAGAAGGGCATTTGAACCCGCGGTATCCAGCGTTGTTTGCTGAGCTCGATGTTCCTCTATCCTCTCTCCATACGACCACCGCACCTCTCATCCGCCCCTTCTTCTCGCGCCACTGCAGAACACAACACCCACAACTCTCCATCCTCCCCTCTCCCCTATTCCTCTATCCACCTACCATGGAGACATCATCGGAGACGTCCTGCAGCTGCTCCAGGGTGGGGTCCATCTGCAGCGTGGCGCGCGACTTGATGGACACGTACGAGACGCGGTCATAGTCCTCCACCAGAGTGTGGTTCCAGATGCGGCCCTGGATGTGCACCAGCGCGTACTGGTTCGGCTTCAGGCTGTTGATGCGGCACCGGAACTGAACACACTTGGCTGTGTTGCGCGCACAGTCCTGAGGTAGAGTGGGGGAGGGTTAGATCGACCTGGTAGAGTTAATACAGTGTAGAAGTGGCATAAACCGGGAGACATGTCGCAGATGAGAAAATTCAGCTCTGACTCGCCTACCATAGACTAATTCATCTTCATCAGTAGCCGAAAATAAATCCACTCTGTATCAATCCCGAGTGAGCTACTCAACCATCGCGTAAAAATGTTATTTATACCATTTACCACTAAAAACGCAACAAATCATCCACTTAACCACACGATTGCGGTGTGACTTGGGGTAAGTTAACCCCTCCCCCTCCTCCCGCTGCGCCGCCGCGGTACTCACAAAGAACACCACCTGCTGCACCTCCCCGGACGGTGACGTCACCGCCTCAGGCATCACCACCATCTCGCGCTCGCGGCGCCTCCTGACGCCGACATCCCGCCGCGTGCGCCGGTCCTCCTCGGTGGTCAGCTCGCGCTCGAAGCCGTCGCCGCCGTCCAGGTCGCGGTGAGCCTGGTAGGTGCGCCGCGTGCCGTCACCCAGGTCCTCCACCCTCTCGACGCCTCCCTGGACGCGGCGCGAGCTGAGCTCGTCCCGGCGCGTGGCCAAGTCGACGGGCCCCAGTCCGTCAGCGGGCAGCGGCCGGCGCGACTCGTACTGGCGGCGATAGGTGTACGACTGGTTGCCGCCGGTGGCGCCGCCAATCGGCCGGCGACGGCGGTAGTAGCCGCGCCGGCGTCCGCCAGGGCGACGCGCGCGGCCGCCGGTGGCGCCCTGGTAGGTGGAGCCGTCGTACTCTGACTCGTACTCGGAGCCGTCCTCGTACTGTCGCCGCAGCCCGCCGCCGGTGCGCGCGTCACCGCCGGCGCCCAGAGCGCCCTCATACCGGCCGCCGCCGGACTGACTGTCGAACGAGTTGGTGCGGAATCCCTGTCCGGCGCCGTAGCGCCGCTCCAGCTCGTCACTACTGCTGCCGCTGTAGCTGCCCCCGTAGCTACCTCCGGTGGTGGAGCCGGTGCTGCCACTACTGGAGCTGCTGGTCTGGTACCCCCTCCGGTCCACCGAGGCCGATACCTGCCCGCCCGACTGTCCCGAGCCGTAGCGTTTCTCGGAGAACGATCCGCCCTGGTAGCGCCTGTCAGTGGCACCGCCTTGGTACCGGCTGTCGTATCCGCCATCACCAGTCCCCGCACCAGCACCAGCACCACCCGTGTAGCGCCGCTCCGTGTAGCCGTACCGTCGAGTGGTGTAGTCATCCTCCGTATCCCCCGCCACCGTACCGTACGGCCGGCGTCGGTAGGCGTCCTCCTGTTTCCGTCTGCGATCATCGATGGTATTCAGACCGCTACCGTAGTCGGTCTTCCGAACGGTGGTGTCCTCCACAACGACACGGTCGTGGTGATCGCCCGTGAACGATCCTCCCCCTCCGAAAGATCCGCCGCTGGAGGACTCCTTACCGGACGAGTTGGAGAAGCTGTACTCCTTCTTGTAGGAGGACTCCTTCGACGACGAAGAGGAAGAGCTAGAGGAAGAAGATGATGAAGAAGATGATGAAGAAGAGCTGCCGGAGGTCACCTTGGAGTAGCCCCCGCCGGCCGACGTGAAGCCCGACTCGGTCTGGTAGCCAGAGGCGCCCACGTAGGCGCCGGTAATGCTCGGGGAAAAGACGGGCTCCTCGACCAGCTGCTGCAGATTGCGCGGGTTCACGATCGCCTTGTCGAACGTACACTCGCCGTCGCCTGCGGAGAGGGCGGATGTGGGTACGGGTTAGAGTGCTGTAGTGGATCGATGGAGAAGAAAGGCAGCGCAGCGAGAGAACTGGCCGAGTGACTCAAAGAGGTGACAAAATTAGATAAAAACAATGTGTTTTAGCGAACTTAGCAGATGAATGTCTTTATTGAAGAAATTCATACACTTCTTAGCTGGACGTTTAGCAAGTGATGGGACACTTATCGAAACCGTGTTTAAACACAATCAGTAAAGTCTCAACTGGGGGTCCGCTGTAACATACAGAGCATCCTAAAACCACATCATCCTTCTTCTACAAGCCCCAAACCCCAACTCTTCTCCACCCCTCTCTTCCCCTCTCCTATTCTCTCACCTTCTACTACTGGCGGCTTGGTGAGGTAGAGGAGCCACTTTCCGCGCGGCCCGGGGCTCTGCACCTCCACCGGCCAGTCAATCAGCACGTCCACCCAGTCCACCGTGGACGGGCCGTCGTTGTACACCTCGTACTTGTGCAGGATCGGGCTGCCCACCTCGTCCAGACTCTTGACGTCGCTCTCGCCCTTCACCTCGCCGCCGTAGAACACCTGCTCCGGCCAGGCCACACTGCCGGAGCGGAGGGGAGGTTAGAGCTGATGGACTGATATATGGCACACGGCAGTCGCGGCTAAAACAATGAACCGATTAAAAAGAAGGAGGTAGATACAAATCAACAAACCATGACAGTCACAAAAAGACAGATGGGTACCTTGGGGCTGTTCGACAGCATTAGGAAGGCACCGAATTCCATGAATAAGGACATTACAATGGCGTTGCATCGTTCGTCCCAGCTCTCCCCCATTGTTATCATGCCCTAGCTCCACCCCTGCCGCATTTCAACTCCCCTCCACTCTCCCTTGGATCCCTCCCCCACCCCCCACCCCGTTCTCCGCTGCACTGACCCACTGACGGAGATCTCGCTGCGTTTGGCCACCCGGGCGCGGATGATGCTCTCGCCCTGCGGCTCCGTCTGCTCCGAGGTCGTGTTGGTGCTGAAGCTGAGCTCCACCATCTCCTCGTCATCGTCCAGCTTGTCCACGTTGAAGCGCAGCACCATCTCCTGCGTGCCGCGACTGACCGGGTTCCCCAGGTTGCAGATGAGCTGGTTGCCGCTGTTCTGGCAGGCGATGTGGTCCTGTCGGGGCAGACAAGAAGGGGTGAGACGGGAGGGTTACTCAATCAGCTGGGGCCTCAGGGTTAGATGGGAGGGATTTATTGCTTGAATAAAGTGTGTGTTGGTGCTTATTTCCGTCATAAATGGTTACAAATGCATGGAAATTTATTGCATATATGGTTTCAAGAATACGTGAAGCTGGGGATGCCAGTAGCGGTGGAAATATCTTAACAATCGACAATCATTCCCAGCATGCCGCGTTTACGTGTTATCGGCCTTTTCCTCTGCTGCATTTTTATAACTACAGTTTGTCCATCATTCATTTAAACTACGATCTTTGGCCAGACATCATTCGACAATAAGTACAGTGACGAATCAACTACTGATACTACTGTGAGTGTCCCTTCAATAGGTCAACAAACAACTAGAGAACGAACGGTCAGCTACTAAACATTTGCAAAGTGTACAGTCATGCTCGTATACAAGCTATGTCATCACTAACGAAAGAGCTAAATATTTACGCCGCGTACGAGTGCATTCATGATCAACATGCACCCTATAACTTTAACGTCCATGCCCATGAGAACAGCGCTAAATACCACAGCGAACACCACTTACAGGCAGGCAGTCCGGCCAGAAGGGGACCATTCCTACCTCAGGAGCCCTGAGCTGCTCCGTCCGAGCCGTAAGTAAGTCAGCGGGGAGAGATCGTACACAGGTTCAAACGTTAGTGGGGGTTACTGGCTACCTCACGCACATTTGTTAGTGGAGGTGAAACATCCGTTTGATTTCTGTTTCTGGTCGTGCTAGAAATACAATGAAGGGTTGGTTCTGACCACGATAGCCTCCGATATATTTAGGTTAGTTACAGACAGCCGACGTTATACCTATCAGCTAAGCAAACAACACACGGCACAAACAGCAAACCACCTATCGACGCACACGCACCCCCACACTGCACACACGCCGTCAGGCGTCACCCCGATACCCTCCCCCTCTCCCACGGCGACACTCTGTCCCCTCTGCCCCACCCCGGTGTCGCCCTGTCCCCGCCCTGGCACTGACCGTGGGCTCCTTGCCGACAAAGCTGATGCTGGGCGGGTAGGTGACGAACAGCCGGGCGTTGTACGCCGGCTCGCCGTCGTTCCGGATCGTGGTGTTGATGCGCAGCAGCTTTCCGACCTCCTTCTCCAGAACGGAGAAGCCCTCCTCGTCTAAGGCGAGGGGTGAATGTCAGTTATGGGGATGGTGGGGTTCAGACGCATGCTGGTCATCACAATGAGAACGGTAGACCGTGGGTCAGAACAGGTATTTGGCTAGGAAAAAAGTACAGGGAAAACTGTGAGGCCAAAGGGTTTACAAGGCGTTTGTCGTCTAACACTGACTTCAGCTGACACTATTCTCAGTCATAAGAAACGGTAACACCCTATAACGCATGACCGCTCAGCTCTTCAAAATAGCAGAGCCAATGCCTTCACCATCCCACCAAATCTCACCTGTCCTAAGATCGAACACGGGCTTGACTTTCAGCTGGCTCTGGCACACTTCGTCGGAGCCGCACTTTTTGACAAACTTGGCGTAGAAGACCTTGGACGCCTCCTCTTGGTTGAGGATGGGGAAGTTGTCGATGTCTGGCAGCGATCCGCCGGGGTACGCCTGGCGGGGCACCCTCTGCTGCAGCGAGTAGGTCAGCTTCATCGGGATGCTCGTCTGGATGTCGCGGGTGTCCTTCTGCGGAGAGAGGCGGGCAGAGCGGTGTTAGGGGGCGGGTCACATTCAGGGGGAGTGGCGTGTAGGGAGGGATAGAGTCTGAGAGGTAGCATCAGTAAACCACTTCAGTAAATTTTACGAAGGGAGACGAACACTACGGAAGATAATGGGTCATTTCACGGCAAATCGATCAGAAATGTACCCGACCCCCCTTCGTTTTTCATGAAATTTGGTAGGCTCTTAGCACCTATAAAAACAAATACATCCAGCGCATTTTAGACCTGGATGACCTCTAATATCGAAGTTATAGGTCATGAAAGGTCAACGTTTGCCGACATAGCAGGATTGAAATGCCCATTGCTCTGTATTAAGCACGGGGACACTGCGGTAAGCGCCATTAGAGAGGCAATTAATCCCGGTTTTATATAGGTAATTTTGAATTTGTCGATGACCTTTCAATGACCTTTGACCTGACTAGGTCAAACTGATTATTTTCAAATTTGATCATGTTCTGCACATCGGATGCTCATGAAAAATTAGCAGAGGATGTATCATAGTATCGATAAAAATGTATGCCCTCCCTGTCTTTTCCCACCGCACCCCCGGGCCGAGAGTTCCGCACCTTGATGAACATGGTCTCCTCCTGACAGAAGTACTCGCGGGTGTTATCGGCGCTCAGCGGCAGCGTCCTCTCGACCACGTGGCGCCGCTCGGGCAGACCTTCCAGGAAGCGAACTCTGGAGAAGCGCCGGTCCGGCTGGAAGGTCTCTGCCTCCAGGCGGTACTCGAGGTTCACAGTAGTCTTCAGCTGCTCAAGCGACTCCATCTTGAAACAGGCCTGGAACGTGACGCTGGAAAAACGCAGCAGAGGGGAAATGTTAGCAGTCATAGAGTACCAGGATGGTGAATACAAGTGTAAGCACTAAGCGGCGTCAACACTTAAAAAAAAAAAAAACATTTGAGTTATGAAGTCCATCCAAGATACAAAACGCTCATTTGGTAGACGGACATTCAAGCCGGACAGATACGTATGACTAGATTGGACTGAACAGTCGCCTGGGTTGGCCGTTAGCATAGGCGCTGATCTAATGCTGATATCACGACAGCTATGTCGCTATCTCGCGGCAGCGCAATCGGCGTCCACTTGACGGCTCCCGACATACACAACCTCAGCGTACAGTGCAAGCACTCTGGGATCCCATCAATACCCCGCCCGGCAGCCGCACTCGGCACTCGCAGCCACAGATCACGCTAGATAAACAGCCGCCCACTACACCCACGGCCGGCGCGGCCCGACCGCAGCGCCCCTGGCGGCCGAGTGGCTCACCACTTGAGTCCGATGCCGGGCTGTTTGTCGCAGCTGAGCTCGGATGGGTTGATCCGGGTCAGCTGGTCCATCCCCTCCACCTTGGTAACAATGCCGACAATGGGCCGCGCTCTGAGGATTAGGAGTGACGTCATTGTTTAGATGGCGATTGGCATATCAAAACAGACTGGCCGAACAAGACAGAAGGGAGACACGCACCTGAAAACATGCTAATGCTAAACAATTAATGAATGAAATAGCGACCAGAATCAAAAGCGCACTACAACGTTCTGAAGAGCATTGAAAAAGATTGGCAGCAGAGCAAAGAATTACAAACAGTGAGATACCCAAAATGTGATTTTTCATAACGTCGGTGCAGCTAATATCTGCATAGATACATTCGATCAGAACTATCTTTCAAACGCTTCACCATCCCACCCCGCCACTCTGCCTCCTCCCAGGCTCCCACTGTATCCCACTCTACCCACCTGATCAGCGACACCGTGTCATTGCAGAACGACCCGATCAGCAGATCCGGATAGCCATTTCCGTCGATATCCAGACCTCCTCCGAGGGAGTATCCGAAGGTGATGGGCGCGCGCGCTCCTGCCACGTCCTCGGATCGTATCACCTGGGCCGGCTCTGTACTCAGACCGTCCGAGCCGCCCAGGTAGATGCGCACCACGCCGGCGCCCTCGAACGGAGCGCCCACAGCAAGGTCCGGATAAGAGTCCTTGTTCAGGTCGCCCAGACTGGCCAGCGCAAAGCCGAACCGGGACTCGGGAGCACCTGGTGAGAGAGGAGCGTGTTACATAGACAGGGGACAGGGTGAGCTGTGGGTGTTTAATAGATAAATATAAAGCTGACTCTCATGTCAGAGAACGTCGTTCAATAGAATCACCCTGAGGAGCTCTGAGCTTAGGGATAGCTCAACCTCTTCTATAGAATCTGCAAGCGTTCAACAAAGCATCCCACAGGATACAGATTGTAGCAAATCAAGCATTGGTACATTATCTTCATATATGACCTAGTTATTACTGATCTCCGAGTACCTCGTTTGAGCATAGAACCCACCCACCATCCGTCCCCACTCGGTCCTTACCCAGAATGCGGGTGGGTTTGGTGCTCTTGGTCAAGCCCGAGCGGGGTGTGGAGTAGATGTAGATGGCACCACCGGACGCCTCGCCATCGCCGGTGAAATGGAACGGAGCACCGACCACCAGATCGGTCATACTGCAACGAGCGGGACGGTACGTCAGTCAGTCACACCCTGGTCCACCGGTCAGGATCGACAGCGCCACTATCAGCAACAAACAAACACCTCGTCCGGGTATGGAAAAGGGACATATCCAGCAAATATGACACAATAAAACATTTAACTACATTTTTACCTCAAAAGAGCAAACACCACAGCTTGGCAATCCAAATTATTCGTGGCTAGTAGCAGAAAAAGATACCTAGGGATTCACATTTTCCATTACCATAACACAATATGCATTGCAGTTACAATACCACGAACACTTACCCATTTTGATCGAAATCGTCAGCGCAGAGTTCGTATCCGAACTGGGAGAAATGCTCTTCTCCATCGATGATTAGGTCGTATCGTAGTGTCTTCTGGCCAACTCGCTCCTGGAACAATGAGAGGGCGGGTTAGCTCAAAGAAAGAGAGAGGAATGGAGAAAGATGAAAGAGCGAGAGAGCTAGCAGCGAGAGCAGAACACCCTATTCTATCGCTGCAAACCGGTATGGGTGTGTCCACTTGTACTGTGCATTAGATTAGCGGTAAATGGTCATTAAGCGAACAGTAATGAGCCACAGAGGTAATAAATTCATGAAAAACTACTACGCAATTAACCGAACACACAACAACCGATACTTTTTACGCCCTCCAGCCGGTTAGGCAATAAATATGTCGCATATAACGTGGGCCCAAGCCCCAAAGTACGCCAACCAAACAACTGTATAACTGCCATGATCGTAGCAGGCGCCCGGCAGACGGCAACTTCTTAAGCGCCGCGAATAATCAGTCCGACCTGACGTACAACCCTGTGCGTGAAATCCGCATGTGTTATGTGCTTAGCGTGCTGTGTTCTCAGTGTGTTCTGTGTTCAGTGTGTTCTGCACTCACCTTCGAGAAGAAGACCACCTGTCCTGTGCCCTGGGAGCGCGGTGCGCCGGCCACGATCGACTGGGAGGCCAGGTTGGGGAAGAACGTGCCGTACGCCACGGCCATACCTGCCGGGGGCGAGCGTGCAACAGGTGTTATTCGACGTGCTCATTGAAATAACACGAGTCGGCGATGACTGGTCCATCCTATAGATATTGAATGACTGGATATCAGCAATGAGAGTAGTAGATACGCAAATCATTGACAGCAATAAGGCTGACGCAGTGACGCACTAACAGGTAAACTGAAAACAAAGACATGAGTTTAAACTCAACGTAAAATTTCATGATAACACGGACATCTTGCATCCGTTCCCTCGCACTTCACCCGACACAACAATGACACTGTACTGTGACACCGTACTGACACTTCCGCTGACTGCCCCCCCCCCCCCCCGCGCGCGCCGCACCCTCAACCCGATTCAGCCGTCACGAAACACAAATGAGACTGTCCGTCAGACTACCGAGCCACACACAGTGACAGTCGCCTGATTGGACGACGCGGTGGTGCGTGAACAGTGCACACAGAGCGCAGAACACGATTTTGAACAGGGATGGGGTGAGGTGGGATCTCTTGAGTCTGTGAGGGGTGGGTCGAAATGCCTGGCAGGGCTCCCACGAACATCACACTGGATGAAAGCACGATAACATATTCAGCTAATATCCAAAAAGCTGGCCTGCATTCTTTGTTGCACGACTGTTTCACCCGACACACGTAACACCGCCTAGTGATGTTAAAAATATGCATCATTCGTACCTGTTAAACACGGAAGCACACCCACAGAAACCAACCCACGCTCTATACATACTACGAATATCAATCTCCCGCAAATACACAAAGCGACAAATCCAATTAGAAGATACTTATCAGGAGCATTACTGGATTGGCAGACCCTTCAGAAGCCTTTCCCTCACGTACCGAGATAGCTGTACTTGTCGACGGGGCTGGTGGAGGCGGTCACCGGGCCAAAGTACTGAGTCTTGTCGCGCTGCAGGAAGTTGTCGGAGATGTTGACGGCGAACACGGTGCCTCTCCAGGTGTAGGGACCCGGCATGCCGATGACGGCACTGTCATCCTCTGTCAGAAGGCCTGAGGTGCCCGCTTGACAGTAGCCGTACTGTTCGTGCTGCCTGAGATCGGAAAGGAGGGCTCCAGTCAGATATGTACAACAGCCGAACGATATTTTCCATATCACTCTCAAGTCCAACTAACACTGATTCAAGTCACTAATTCACTTCCATTCTAGGGCCACCCCATCACTATTCTGACGAAGCCAGACTGCCTAAGACAAAGGATGGCATTGACGGCCCCAGCAAATGACTCAGTAAACCACAACGGGATCCGTTTGTCCGCGAAACTCCAGGCATTGCGTCTCAGCACACACCAATGTAGCTCTACGGGCGGACTCCGTCACTGCAGTCTTCCTTTCATATCTGACGAGCGACGGACAAACCACAATCGTCGTCCAAACTACCGGAACAGTGCGCCGACACACAGACAATCGTCGTCCAAACTACCGGAACAGTGCGCCGACACACAGACAGACAACGTCAAGGACGAACCACCGCTCAGTCATCCCGAGACACGAGCGCTCCCATCCATCGCCACTGTCACTAGCGTAAGTACAAACACAGTGTACACAGCAGTACACAACAAACAGCTAACATCACACAGAGGACACAGCGCCGCCAGCCGCTCCACAGCCAGCGGGCTATGCGTGACAAAGGCAGACAGCTCAGCCGTCAACTGTGTGCAATTTGGTGCTGTTGAGGCGCACCCATTCCCCCCCCCCCCCCCGTTGCCGTGCAGTGTGAGCATTTGTGCCGGCTCGGTGAGTTTTATGGGAAGAAGGCTGTGAATTCGCTGGTGACCGCAGCTGGAAGCTCGGCTGGTATATACGACTGGAGCCTGGAGGAGCTTCCTGAATGACCTGGGAGAGATACCTAACGCAAGGAACTGAGCTGCTTTCTTACGAACGAGGAGGGATTAGGATGAGTTTTCTTACGAAGCTCGGTATGAGCTTCTTTAGCGGGCTGATAGAAAGTTCAGTGGAGAAGATCAGATGAGTTTCTCCGAGCAGCTGACAGGAATTTCTTTTGTGATCTTTTTCTTTTTTGAAGGTAGCAAGAGCTTTATAGGAACAGCCGGAAGGCTGCTTGAGGTATATGATGCAGATTTACCCAAAACCAGCCGATCATGCAGATGCGAGTATCGTGCCGATTTATCGGTCATGACTCAGTCATAGCCATTGATAGTGCTCACAATGCAACTAATAAACGACCGTTATCACTCTCCTTGTTTTACGCCTCGATAGGAGACACCGTCTCGACACTTTTTCTCAGTCAGACAGTCTAACAAATGAACCACAGTCTCGTGTTCTGACAGTGGGCTCACACACCAGAGTGATCGCATGCACCGCATGTTTGACATTCCTCAGACAGCTCCTCATTGTCGGCACACAGACAGTGGCGGGGAATACGGGGAGGGGTGCGAAGGGGAGGGGAAAGACAGGGGGCAGCAGCTTGAACAAGAAACACGACACGAGAAATGGTCCACATTCCCTCAGAGTCCTCAAATGGGAATTTCCTAAGCACCGAATGCTAAAGCAGCGCACGGGTTGTCAATGCCGGCGACCTACGCACAGGGAAAGCGGTCGAATGTCCATCGACTGATTGTCGCGTGTCTGACGGCGCGATAGCAACGCTGCCGCTCCCTGTAGCTTGTACTGTCATATCGCGACAAAGTCTCGGCGAAACTGTGCGGCAGAAATGGCCCAGTGTGGCGTGGCTGACACGACCTGTTGCGGTGGTGATAGTGGAGCGGGGATCCCTCACTCTCCTTACCCCTTCCCTCTCTCCCTCTACCCTCTCTCTCTCTCTCCCCCCTCTCTCTCTCTCTCTCTCTCTCTCTCTCTCTCCCATCCTCTCACCTGGTGACATCCAGATTGCGGCAGGGAATCCACTCGTGCTCAAAGTCGAGGTTCTGCTGCAGTGTGTAGCAGAGTCCGTGACCCCAGTGCCATTCGTTGGCCAGGCCGCGGTTTATATAACGGTGGGCGCACACCTGAGGACCAGGAAACAACCAGGGTTAACACAACGGCAGCTAGCGCGTGCGGGTACGATTCCTGTCGAGTTATCAGTAGCAGAAACATAGTAGAATGATACATGATCAGGTTCTGTTATTTTTGGCATTTGCACGTAAGCGATTGAAAAGGTCACGAGCAAAAGTTATCAGCAGAAAATGGGAAAACGAGAAATTATAAGTCAGTACGGCAAACGCTTAAAACATGCCGAAAAGAAGAAAAGGTCCATTTTTCGTTTACGTAACTTAAAGTACATCAACTGGTCTGTATCAAAATTCCTATATGAACAGCAGAAGTCTGAGCTCGATCAATATCAGTGCAAATGCCACTCTCCCGATCGGCCGGCCTCGGACACTGTCTGGCCCAGGCGACCACTTCATTAGGACGACGCCCTGCCCTGGTCGGGCGTCCGAGTCGAACGCTCGCCGAATTATTCCCGGCACGCAGTCCCTGTCCACTCCAGATACCATCCGAAAGTGGCGTCACTGAGACCAGTGACGCCACGCTGCGCCGTCAAATGCCGATTGAAATCGCCCGAAAATGAAACCTTTACGCATGGCTACATAAAACACCTTCCACTTACTGGCATCTTCACGAGCTATTAATCTTTCTAATGGTGATGCAGATGATCGAGAATAAAAATTCAACTGGAAATTTGTGGTAAAATTACGATTAAATGTCCGGACTAGCTTACCATAACCTTGCGTCCAGGCCCCTGGCTTCGGACGGTGACACCCATCCACTGGCCTTCCTTCAGCTCGGTATCGGCCGGCGGGTTCAGAGTGATGCCGTCTGCAACCCGGCGTTTGATAGTCAGATGGGTACTCGGGACAATCAGTAGGTCAGACGGGTAAAAATAACTATGTACAGTCAGACGGGTACGGTCAAATGGTCAGACAGGGGCGGTCAAACAGGTACATTCAGATGGTCAGACAGGTACAATTAGACGGTCAGACGGCAGGTTAACACAAACGTCTAGCGGTCACACGGGTACAGTCAAACGGTCAGGCGGGTACAGTCAGATGTCAGACGAGAGAGGTCAGATACAGCCTAATGATACACACAGACGGTCAGACGGGTACCATAGGACGGACACAGTCATACCGTAGCCAGACATACGGGTATATAGTCAGATGGTCAGATTGAACAGTCAGACTCAAAACAGTCGTCTCAGTCAGACGAGCGCTGCCAGTCAGGCAAAGTCAGAAGTCCTCAAATGGTCGCTCGATTCGCACAGACAAACAATCAGCGACATCACCGCATGGGACGGGGATATGGGAGGCAGAACACCGTAGCCAAGATTGTGGCACTCACGTGTGGCCAGGAACGTTACAGCCGCGGTTTTCATGTGCAGAGTCGACTATTAGCCAACCACATATGGCTGTTGCGGCTTGTGGCCATCAGCTGTGGTCGCAGGCAGGAGGGGTTCGCACAGAAAAACCAGCTCGACTCGGGAGGGCGCTCACAGGACGTGCAGTGGAACCGCAGCATGGGGCTGGACGCTGGTTTACATAGCCTTGGCTGGATGTAAATGAGGTGGGACTGGTAGCGGCTTATAGTGTTCCGCGGTATAGGATAACGCACGGAGTCGGTTTGTTTTGACCAATACAATATATGTAGACGGTAACTGTTTTGTTGTCACAACATTGATATAAAAATGTCACCAGGATACAGACAAGATCACGGTCAGTTAAATCCACGCCCAAACCATTCCAAAAGTTCGCACACATCATTCAGTTAGTGGTGAAGCATGCTAAATATCACGAAACTCACGGCAAACATATTGTATCAGTGTCAGGGGTCTCACAAGACAATTCAAGGATTTTAATGCACCACAACAACTCATTCCATGCTGAAACGGTACCGTTAAAATATTTCCTCTTAAAAAGACTCATAAAAATGCAACTGTTGCGCGCAACAAGTGCAAAAGTGGCTGGAACGATTAACGCAGCTTGGCCGTCGAATGAATATCACCCAACGATTGATCAGAGAAATCAAACATTAACAAACACGTTCACGATACACATGCACAGTGCATTGTTCCCGGCAATCACCAGAAGCGGTTGTTCAGCTGGCATTGCCTCGTCACCCGTACCATCTGTTCACCCTGTGCCTTCGCTGGAAACCGCAGGAAAGCAGGAGCCCCATGTTCCATAGCAGCTGGAACGCGCGTCGGTCATAATTTCCCAGTCCCAGGCAAGGCCGTACAAGCAATGCCAAACTTATTTAGAAGCCAATGCCACATTTGAAATAGGTATGCACCTTCATTCCGCGTGATGGTAGGTATGCAATGCAGGCATACAAACTGGTGTCTTACATTTCTACAAAGGTGTGATGGTTACTACATTACTTATTACGAGCGAGCGAGCGCAGCGAGCGAGCGAGTTCATACTGAATTAAGGGAAAATCCCTGAGTATGAGCGGCCGGTCGGCCGGCCGGCCCGCCGGCCGTGGGGACGCTCTTCAAAAGCTAATATCTTAGGGACGGGACATCCGATTGACAAGCGGTCTTCTTTGCTGAATGTCACTTGGACGTAAAAGTTCTGTGGTGTGATGGCCACCATGTGTTCTTGCCAACCAAAGCACGTGGCGCGTGGTAAAGTTGGACATTTTTTAAGAACCCCCAAAATTGCAACCTCAATAACGGCACAACGGTTGGGCCGATTGAATTGAAACTCGGTACACAGTTAGGCCTACATCAGATAATTCATCTGCATGTGTTAAGGTTGGGGTGCTACAGCACGTGCGCACGTGCAGGGGGCGCTCCCAGATCTCGAGAACGGCTGGGCCGATTGCGCTCAAATTTGGCACACGGTTGGGGACCAGTTAGTAGGGTGCCGTGCAGTAGTCAGTTTGGACCCCGCTTGCACGTGCGCACGTGCAGAATGGCGCTTCCAGATCTCAGGAACGGCTGGGCCGATTGCGTTCAAATTTGGCACACCGCTAGCGACCGGTTAGAAGGGTGCTTTGCACAAGCCCGTTGGAAGTACCCTCTCGCCCTTGCGCACGTGCAGGGCTCACTATCTCGCTCGCTCGTTCTTCGCCCAAAAGGCGTTTTACTCAAGGCCATATATGTTTTACTGGTATTTAGTTGAGCTGAGTTAGCTAAAGATTTTGCTTACAGAGTTAGCTGATATTTATATTGGCCGTTTAATTCACAGCTCACACAGTAAATCGGCTGAAGGCCCGACCTCGCACCTGGTTTCCAGGCCGTCCGCTGGCACCACCGTAATATCCCGGCCTGGGCTACCATTTACCAATATCGGTGCAGTGCTATCTCAATGAGCGCGCTGGCTGTTCAGTGTTCACACAAACTGTGTTTGTCAGCGATAAGATAGGTGCTATTAGGTGTGCAGACCGCAACAGTGACCCGCTATCTACCGCGGTGACACACATGAGAGAGAATTACAACAGGAAAAGTATATCGGCAATTACCGATAGACATACCTATGGCACCAACAAAAAAAAAAAAACTATAAAACATAAAGCATTTTGCGTCGGAAAGACACGACTTCGTGACGCTCAGCTTTGGCCATGTTGCGATCACTCCGCAGCAAGGCCGTTCGTATCTCCCCAAATGCAATGTTCTGACAAAGCATTGGGTTTGGGAGACTGGCAATCTAGTAACGATTTAAAATAATGACGTGTTATTTTGATTCAATGAGAAACTGTGAGAAGTAAACGTTTAGCGGATCGTAGCTTTGATGTCACTGGAAATCAGGAGACTGCTGCACACCTATCATACGTGATTACGCTGCAGCGGGATACTTCAGGCTCGGTAAATTAGAGTTTAGTAAATAAGGAAGTATTGAAAGGCGAGTTTACAGGGATGCGGGCTATGTAATACACGTGAGATAGGCATTCATCGTTCACATTTCACTGAAGTTCCTGGAGAGCCAGTGTAACGAACTTAGCAGCAGCTATAACCATGGCAGATTAAGCGCCCATCTAATCACGGCCTATGAGGAGCGTGAAGACGATAATGCTACCCTGCTAATCCGCCTGCGTTCTAATGACATCACGCGAGCCCGGGGCGGTTTGATGCGCGGCTTATAAATCCCATGGCACCCACAAAAACGGCCGGGAGGAGCCACGGAGGAGCGACCGGCCACGGAGCAGCTGCCGACGGAGCCAAGAAAATTTCCCAGCAGCCCCCGTCAGTCAGCAGTCCGACGAGCGGCGTCGGATCCAAGTCGAGGAGCATCCAGTCGGGGTACCTATCACGCAGCCTCCTCTCAGCAGCCGCCCGCGCATGCAGCAGAGCTGTAGCCGTCTGGGGCCCGCCGGTCCCCTCAACCCGTCCTGAAAGCTATAAGCTAGCTGTGGTGTCCGTCTCCGGTTCTTGGCATAGCGTACAAAGCACACTCCAAACCAACCACAGTGTGGGATCATGCAGCTAGAGGGGTGAGCCATTGGCAAAGGAACCGCCAGCCATATGGCCTGCCCGAGCATGCCTTTTCGTCTCTGGTGACCACTTACTCTTGATATACCGTCCTTTAACGGGATCTGAAAAGCACAGTGTCTGTTAGATGGGATATTTACACCGGTTTGGAGGGAGCCAGCCTGCCACCAGAAACATGGATAGCCAGAGTAGAATAGTTAAAAGCCAGTAAGCAAGGCACTAAAACACACAGTGAAAATCCCCGTAAACAACACAAATACTTTGTGAACAAAGGCAGTAAATATTCCCAGAGACATTCATAGCAAACCTACAGAGAACGACAGCCATAGTTTCCCAAACTACAACACAAGCCAATACGACGTGAGACGTGAGAGACACATACATAGAGTAAGCAGTATGAAAAAGAAATTCGTCAGAAAAATAGACACCCGTTACAGAGCAACGAGGACAGGTAGACGATCAGAGCTGGCGGTGAGAGGCGTGACCCGGCCCCGAGTCAACCCTTACCTGTCCCGGCGACCCGACCCGCACCGATCGACCCAGAGGGATCGACTCCACACGCGGACGACCTCGATGGGACGCAAGGAGGCGGCGGAGACGCCTGCGCCTTTTCTCTTCTCGGCATGCCAATAGCCGCTGGAGGACTTACTGAGGGGATGGATGTGCTTTGCGTGGCCGTCCTCTCCTCTGTGGTGATGGGTTCCCCTTGTTTAGTGGACGTTCTGGGCACAGCGTGCTCAACAAAGTGAATCTCATCATCGAGATGAGCTCTTGAAGCAAATCTAAGGACTGTCAAGGTGCAACAGTTCTGTTGAAACGCTGTTCATCTTGCGCCATGTCAACAACTCACAGCTACTGTATGTAGCTTCTTTCGCATCAGTGGCGTTATTCATGGCGCTGCCACTTCCCAAATGAGCAGACGATGATGTCCCACTTCCTCGTCATGTCAGGTGAACATGCGCTCATTGTACATAAAAAATACGGAGTAAATGCTTTTATAAAATTGGTTCAATAGGCATGTTAGCATTTTGTAATAAATGATCAATTCAATCAGGCTCGACATAATAGTGTAGGTATTTTAGTCGATATAAAAATACCTACACTATACAGCTTGTAATACCACTTCAATACAGCTTATTGAACCAGCTCAATAAGTTCAGAACAACTAAGCCTAGGCAAGTGGCTTAGGCTTTTCTTCTCTCGCTTCTCGGCTCACGTGAAACGGCTCAAGCCGTCTCAGCACTGTCTCTCAGCTCAGTTAGGCGAGATCGTCCTGTTGATGCTCAGTATGACTTGGTCCACCCCTTGGCACAGGATGATATCGTTCAGCTGATGTCCAGTTCAGCTGGCGATTGGATTTTCGTTAGCGAGCTCTGACTGATGGCAGCCATTTGTGTCGTTAATGACGCCACTTTTATCGGAGAAGAAGGATACGCATCGCTTTTCAAGGAAGCTGGAACAGCTGTGACGCAACGCCCCCAGGGCACTGGCCGAAACATCTTGTCTTGTATGTACCAGCCGAAGAGTTTTACCAGATAGCGCTCTTAGAAGCGTTGCACCCTGCTGAACAATGTTCATCATTGCAAAGTGGCAGCTTAAAATGTGACGCCGGCGTTACACAACACTGGTAGCAGAATTATGCGTCAGGCTGCGAACTTGCGCTCCCAGTTTGGCCTGTGGGTCTGAGAGCCTGCCGGACCAGTCGCTTGCATAACACTCCTCTAGAAGCCTGGATTAATTGCTGTGACAGTTAAATTGTTCACTGAGAATAGCCGACAAACACATCGAACAGGTTCCGCAGGACCTCGACACCAATCTGAGGAGCCGGGGTTAATCGTTGAGATGCCAGCTGCAGAGCCCGCCACCAGTGACACGCCCCCATTCCTCGCCTCCAGACCTCCCCCGCTGCCGGACCGGACAGGGGCGCAGCTCGCGCTCCACTCACCATAGTGGCCGTCCGTCTCCACCTGCTGACAGTCGTCCTGGCGCGTGGAGAGGGGACACTTCCAGAGTGCCCCGCTCTTCTCCGTGTTGGGCTGCAGGTTCTTCCCCAGCGGAGCGCCGACCAGAAGCCTGCAGACAGAGAGATGGGTTGTGAAAACAATCGATCGACTTTGCTATGTCGGACGTGCGACGACTAACAATAAGGGACATGCTATGCTACAGGAGTTTGTCGTTGAGAATCACTGCACGAAATATGAAAGACACCTTGAATAATGCTTGATAAATTGTGTGGTTAATGATATGTCAATCACGAACGATAGACGGTGCGGTACGACCCATGACACATGGTTTTTCAACAACAAACCTCAACGACCACAACAAAACAGCCAAAACTCTGATCATCAATCCACCATCCCTTCCATCTCATAGCAGCACATCGGCATTGCAACACGAACCACTCAACCAGGGCTAGCGCAACGTTGACCGCGGACGTACTAAATTCCCTTCACCGGATTCGGAAGTTGGTCGGTCGACAGAGCAGCCACAAACTGTCTGTGAACCAGCGGCTGAAAATCGCGCGCGTGCCGCCCGCCTGACACCCACACAGCCAAAGGTCAAACGACGCGCTCGACCTGACAGTCCAGTCACACGGCGACGTCTAATTATAGTCGTGTTGTCGTGTAGGCCACAGTGCAAGGCGAAAAGTACCTAAATCGCCCGGGTCAACACGAAACAAATGCAGTGCCGAACTGCATGCCAGAAGAGTAAAATCGAGCGACGTGAAATCCGACGCAGGTTTAAACGGTTTAGGCCATCGCGTGATAATTCTGGAGTTATACTCACGCTGCGTGAAAATCGAGCTGAGCTCAAACACGCTACATGTCTCTGCGATATTAACCTGGAATGGTTAAGCATCTTTGCAATGCTCCCGCCTTCCAAAACGCGCCACCATCAGATTGTATCCCACAGCCGCTGACAGCAACCATCTCCGCGCCTCGACAGAAAAGGGCATCATCCTTCACCAATTCCCGACGCCTGTCGAACAAGCTACACCCGGATCTTGACTCGGGCAGCCGGCACCCAAGTCCGCGATTAAGTATGCATGACACATACAGACACGGGTCGGCAGATCTGTTCTGCTGGCCGACACACGGGCGCCGGACGACCGTGAGCGTCAGCTCCGGTCACGCTGTGCACCGGGAGATAGTGCACAGTGGTGCACGGTGGGGTGTGCATGAGGTGCTGCACGTGTCGCAATGTGAACGGGTTAAGGCGGGGGGGAGGCGGGGGGGGGGGGGGTTGACGGAAAGGTATCCACTGCAAACGGAGCTCGGTGACAGAGGTCACAACACAACGATGGCAAGCGATCCAGCATTCAGGAACATGGTCACGTAAAGCGCTATGTAGTAAGGATGTCCTTAGCTAAAATGAAAGTGTTCAACTCAGGATGGGCCAGCTTAACATAGACTCACTCAAATCAGAAACTAAGCCCTTATTGGGGTCCAACACAACGTTTCAAAATTCACCGTCGGCGTCTTCTTGACACTGATTCAGGCGGTGGGGCAATGATACGTCATGCCCAGCATCACATCCCGTCACTCGTCAGCACCCCATAGGTGCACCCCGTTCCTAGCTGCTGGCGTGCGAACCAAATACCCTCCGCACAGCTGACGCTCTGACTTCTGATACCCCCAGTGCATTTGCTCCCAGGTGCGGATCGTGTCACCTCCAGCTGTGGGCCATTAGAACCCTCGGCAGCACACAGTCAGATCACTGTGCTCAACAAACAGGGGAACAAAGCCGCCCCCAAAGGCGTGTATTGTGCCCCACACATGGTGAGCACACAAGCATGAAAAGTGCGCACAAAACACGCAATTTGGTATGCTCGTAGTGTCCTGGAACGGCGAGTTGCCACGGGCTGAACTTCTCAACACTATAGCTTAAATACCTCTGATTAAGACGCAAAAATAAAATTTCCCAAGTCCTCAAACTATCAATATCTCCACTTTCCATGTATACCTTCAGAATGGTCTCATCCCTAGCTGAGACATCCCATGCCTGCACTCCAAATTCGTGTACGACCTCCCATGGCACCGCCCAGTCCTTCCACTGTGGGGAGCTGCAGTCAGCTGGGAGCCCGCACCCGCCCGCACCCCGACGATGACAATGCAGGCGGCCTCACGTCCGGCGCCGCAGCATTCCACGTGCGCGCGTGTGCGGCCATTTGACCTGAGCCGGCCGAGTGTCCGGGTGGGCACACACATACCCACACAGGCGCCGGAGAAAGCCCGTCCCGAGGTGCCACCACCTGCGTCTCCTGATTAACGGCTCCTCACGTCGGCGCGCCTCCGGCCCCATCAGGGCGGCGTCGGCAGCTCACACTAATTGAAACGGCAGGAGAGCGGCCGGCAGGCGCGGCGGGAGCGGCAGCGGTGGGACGGTGGTGGGGCGGGAGGAGCATGGGACAGTGTGGCGGGACGGTGGGACGGGAGGAGCATGGGACAGTGTGGTTGGACTGTGGGGCGGGAGGAGCATGGGACAGTGTGGTGGGACTGTGGGGCGGGAGGAGCATGTGACAGTGTGGTGGGACGGTAGGGTGGGAGGATCATGGGACAGTGTGGTGGGACGTTGGGGCGGGAGGAGCATGGGACAGTGTGGTGGGACGGTGGGGCAGCTAAGCAGAATAATGGTGAGTCGACAGGCAGAGGAAAATGGAATGTTGGGCGATGGGATGGTGGGACAGTAAGTGACAGGCGATGACTGATGGGCGATGAGGCGATGAGCAATGAAAATGGGCGATGAGATGGCCGTAAATGGGGCGGAGATACGGAGGGCCGGCAGAGCTAGACGGACGGTCGCGGGCAAAGACACTCGACGGTCCACGACATTCAGAGGAATACAGATGATGACAGGGTCAAAGTGGCCCGCGAGCCGTGAGTTCAGATAGAAGTCTTATCTAACTGCCCTATCACTGTTAGTCAGAGAAACAGACGGTATATAGCCCGGTGGATCAGATGAGACTGGTGAACTCAACGAACGGCATCGTAGGGCAGGCGAGATAGGAGATAGTAGGTAACCGCACTCACAAACTTAGCCACTTCAGAACCTGATGACACAGGACCTCCGAACATTCACAGCGATAGCCCGTGCTTTCATTTCGCACGGGGACCGCAACAGATACCACCCACTACGCGATGACGGCACAGCTCTTCATCTCCGCTGAGCCGTCAGGATTGCTCCTATGTATATCAAACCAGTAGGGACAGCTAAATTTACCTCCCAGTTCGGTGAAAGGCTCCACGCGCCTCACAATTGGCCGGTTCGTCGTGCCTGCCTTCATTTCGTCCCGTTGTCTCGTTACGACAGTGCGTGACCCCAGCGTCACGGTCGCATCACGGCCGCGTGACGACAGTTGACACCGAGACCCTCACCAGCGGCCGGCGACCTCTCCTGGCCAGGTCACGTGACCCAGCGACCTGGTGACCTGTCGCCCGGCCGCGGCGCCGCGGGAAATAGCCTGGCGCACAAACACTGCACGGCGCCAGCAGCAGCCGCACTGCCGGCTTGGTCGCCAGCCCACTTAGCAGCTCGCAAAAACGCAAACCATTGTCGCAAAACGCGCAAAAAGCCGGCGCCCGGCTGGTAATTGTGATCGGGTTTCACGCTCGGTCGGAGAGGAACGGTGAGAGGTCGGGCGTCATAAGCAGGCAACCAGTCGGGAGTACGGTGCTTGCAACCTACCGGCTACCGAGACATATAAATGACAAGTAGTGAGGGGAATGACGACTAGAGCGCTTGTATCGTCACACTGTGCACGATCAGACTGGGGTGGGGAACACCTGGAGAGCGGAGGAAGGGGGTAGGAGGAACGGGAATGAAGGGAAAGAATGGGACCAGGTGCAGCCTCGAGAACCATCCCGCTCCAGCGGTATCCATACAGACGCGCATTGAGTGCGGAGCGAGCGGGTTCCCTCCTACCCGACCAGGTGTGCCGGTGGCGGGGCTCAAGGCCGCCCTCCCACGCGCTGCGCGGTATCAGCCGTGGCTGGCTGGCTACCCCCACCCCTCCCCACCCCCACTGACCGGGCCAGCTGATGCATGGGGGGAGGGGCGATCTCGGGAGGAAGGCGCTATCTACAGCGACACGGCGCCGACCCGTTCCCTCAGCCTGCAGCCGCGGTCATGGTGGCACCGGCCCGCCTCGCACGTGTCGGCACCGCGTGCCTGACCGGCGACCGTGCCGGCCCACCGAGCCAGCTGTCCCCTCCCCTCCCCCCACGGCCCGTGTTTGCCTCCCTGCGCTGTGTTTGCCGCAGTCGGCCCTGGCGCGTCAACAGCGCCGCTAACTGGCGGCGCCCGGAAGCGGCCTGCGAGCACAGCTGAGCGCGCTGTGAGTGACGTCAAGTCCCGGCGGGCCGCCCCCGCCCCCGCCCGCGCCCGCACCGGCCGCCGTCGCTGGGCCACGGCACACAGGCGCGGTGTTTGTGGGCCGAGTGTGACCGCAGCGCCGCCGACAGCGCCGTGACACTGTCCGGCGGCGAATAATGGCGCGGCGCCGCGCCGCTCCACACCTTAGCCGCCGCCGCCGGCGCATTCCTGGAGCTCGGCCGGCAGGGGCGGCAGCGAAATATGGGAAACAGGGGAATAATTATGACAACCAGGTGGAATGTGAGGGATGCACCGCGACCGGTTCTAGCTCATCAGCGGATAGCGGAGGCGACGAAAGGAGGGTAAGAGGGGGAAACGAGACGGAAAGGTAGGTAACCGATACACAGACTACTGCAGCGAACGACGAGAGCTCGATTCCCACGAGTGCCTTGGGCTCGGGCTGAGTAAGCTGCGTCCGTCCATTCGATTTGGGCACGATGGAGAGGGATGAAGGACTCTGGGGTCGCCTAATCCCACGAGTGATGAGCTCGGCGCTGGGTACCTGGGTGCGCCGCGGTCCCACCACCTCCCCACAGGCTGGGGTGCCGCGCTATCCGTCAGCACCCGACACAGTCACACGGGGCCGGCAGAAATGAGGTGCGCGTGTGAAAGTCCGCCGGCCCACCTGTGAATGTGAATCCGAGGGCAGTTCGCGACAGGACTCTAAGAGATGATGGAGCTTATTGAAAAAAATCTAGTGG